GCATCAACAAAATTTTAACATTGTGCATATATAGGCCGCACCTGAATATAAGCCGCAGCTGTCCACGTCTTCAAGAACGTTTTCAAATTCGGGCCATCTGCTTTTATCGCCTCTGAAAGCTTTTGTTGTTTTTTTGCGCTGAGTCAGTTTGTCATGCTGCCATCGCCAAAATCTCGCCAACGACTCATTGATGCAGAGTTCACGTGCAGCAGCTCTGTTTCCTTCTTCCACAGCCACATCAATTACCATTAACTTAAAAGCTGCGCATCACCCCTGTCTCTCCCTGCTCTGCGCATGTCTCCAGCAGAAAGAGCCTCCGTCCTGTCTGGATCATGTCAGTGTCTTGGAGGATTTCAGCAAATTTCAGACTCTCTCTGGGACGTGGCTTGTTCTATCAATCAGGTATGAGTGGATGTCCGGCTACTGAAGTTTGAGAAGTTTCATCTCGTCATTTACACATACAGGTAAGACGTATCCCCCTCACCAATGTTCATTTAGTATCATAACTTATTTTATCACACGGCAATAAACTATTTGAGTGTGCTGATAATATCATTAGCTACTGTGGCAACTTCATGTTAACCCTAGATCCATGTGTTACCCACACAGACAGTAGCACTTTTTGGACTGCTGTGTTGCCGAATGGACAATGTCCCAAACAAAGAATCCGTCCATATATTCGCCGCATCGTTTTATTAGCTGCAGGGTTCAAAGTGTGAGAAAAAAAAGTAGTGGTTTATAGTCAGGAAATTACGGTATTTGTTTTGCAGTCAGCAGTGCAACTCACACTGTAGTCTTTCTATTCTGATCCCAAAGGTCTAATTCAACCATCATGCCTCCTGCTCTGTCTGATGAGATCACTGGTATTGTTAAATATATATATTTTTCCTCTTGACTAGCTGGTTATGAAACTTTCCATCATAATAAAAACACTAGTCATGTCCTTTCCAGCCATGGCTAAAATCTTTTGCCAGTAGCAAGGTGAGCAAGCTGCGCACAACAGTTCTTTTCAGTATTTTAAATGCCCACAGAGCTATGTAGTCATGCTGCTGTCCTTTTATTTTTACAATGAAATAACTCAGGGCATTGCTAAAACAATATCACAAACAATACCCCGACTTGGACTTCAGATTCCACAACATACAACACTCTAGCTGTTGCCCAAAACTGAATAAAAGTGTGAAATTTATACAATAGGGCAGATCTGGCTTTGGGTAGTGTCAAAAGAAGCAAGAAAAATACATCTTGTTCATGTTTTGAACCTGGGGCAGCCATGTCAGCTTTGGGACATCTCACCCTGAGTAAACCCCTGTGTGCTCTCTTATCCTCGGGCGCCCTCAGGCTCACACATCTGCACATGCTTCATTATGTCTGTTACTTAAGGTAAATTATCATGGAAGCAGAAAGCCAGAAGAAATTTAAAGGAAGAACATTACATGCTCAATACAGACGGGGTTGTGTTATGAGCCGTGTTTTCGTAGTCAGAAGTGATGCCATAAACCAAATAGAGGAGCACAAGCCTGGGGATATATCGTTAACATGATACGATATTAACATGACGTGGCGATACATTATGGTGACCAGACTTTCAAAATAAAAAAACTGGGATATGCACAGTTTGTGGTCGTTGGTAATAAAATTGTGAAACGAGTGTATAATTAAGAAAAATTCTTCTGCACTCAGCCCATTCATGCCTAACATGTGAGCCAGTATAGTCATATTTTCTTTGTGTTTTGGTCATTTTTAAGCAGCTTGACAAGTTATGCCTCTCTTTACTGTTGAAAGGGATCAAATTGGTCAAAAATAAGGACATACGGGACATTTCTTGTATAAAACTGGGACAAATCACTGGTTTTGGATAAATCAGCTGGGACATGGGACACAGGGCTCAAAACTGGGACTGTTCCAGGTAAATAGAGACATTTGGTCACCCTACAATACACGCACACATTCTCTCACATAAAATTACAGTCACAAACTATCTAGCATTTGCCAACAGTAATTCAGTTATTCACGTTCACCTTTTTAGTTGAACATCAAACACCCAGGTCTGTGGATGCTCGTATTGATCGCAGGCTCCTGAAAATGTGTTGTTTAAATGCATTTTGTGTTTTTTCTTGAGATTTCTTTTATTGCCAGTGTTTGCTAATATGTGCATTGTGTCTCCTTAGTAACTCCTGAACATTCCAATATTCCATATAGATACATGTAGAACACCCCCCATTCAAACAAATCTCCAGCAACTGTAACAATGAAATCTAGTCTATTTATTTAATGAGACAGGGACAGTGCATAATATCTGTTAACCTTAACACGAGAGATACATTGAGCCAGGTTATAGTAACAGTGCTAATTTCTGCCTGTAGTCCCTGGGAAGGTTCATGTTATAGTTCATAAAATCAAACATACACAGAGAATGTTTTCATAAAGTCCGGAGCATCGTAACAATTCTGTATCATCATTCACACCCAGTTCTCTCAGCATCTTAAAAATATCATCCTTAACAAAATCGTCATTCAGTTCATTCACTCCAGAACATCACTCATCATTTTGGTAATTAAAATGACCAAAATAACCAATTATAATTTGAGGTGAAATCATGTATGTGACGGAGTATATGAGCCATGTGAATCGTGGTCAACAGTGGACACATTCAAGTCCTGCCATCTGCTTGCTACTATTACGAAAATGTTAATGTTCCATAGTACGGCAGTAAACTAATCTATCTCCATGGAGACCAGCAGGCGACGCACCAGGCCAAATTACATGCCAAATCCATACTGAGGCAAGAATGCGGAGGTCAGCAATAAAATATATGATGTAAGATTGACAGACAGGTTTAATGACCTACTGTGGAACATTCAAAGTAAAGCAATAACGCATCCATGGACACAGAAAGAGTCATGCCCCCACCAGAAAAGTTACATAGTAAGATTTTAAGTCTGCATTGCTGTCTGTGTATTCAAATTAACTTTAGAAACAACTGGAAATAGCAGAAAGAAATTACACAATTATTCATAATGCAGTGTATCCTGGTGTCTTGTGTCTCTAACATCATGCTGATTGGATTGCAAAAACTAGACTTTCTTCAATAGAAAATGGGAAAACTACCAGGCACAGGCAGGTCTAGTCAAAGCCACTATTATTTACTACTGTATGAGAAAACGATTTATGAATTTGTTGCTCTCAGATGGCGGTGGTGTGAAATTGCCACTACGTTTGTAGCAGGTACAGCTCGCATAGCGCTGCTGTTCCTCGAATGTGACACAAATTTAAATCCACACTTAGATAAACATTGGGCTCGTGGGCGATTTTCTGTACACATAAAATCAAGGACAGAACCACGAAGAGGAGAGAGAGCATGCACAACTGTTTAACATGGTAACACAACTATCTATGAATGCGTGGACACTTGCAGAGCTCGACCCTTTGCCACGAGGAAACTGTGGTAACCATGTCAACAAGCGTAAATCAAAGAAGATGGGATAAAATCACAAAGACAGCTTTATGCCCTCAATGGTAAACAAGAATTTTTATGAACGCAATATATTTCTGAGCCAATCTCTGCTCTTGCAATAGTGAGGTGATTGTGTCAGATCCCTGTTGAGTTGAAAACACATTATTGGCCTTGGTGCGTGTATTCCCTCACCACTGCTGTCTTATGTGCGAGGCTCAGCAGTCAATTCTTTACCTGACAAAGGGTTTAGCACAGTGCACTCGGAGCTACACAGGTACGGTACTGACTGACAGCTTCATTTTGAGGTGTTGGAAATACAGAAGACTCATGGACCTAATGCAGACTGTGTAGTTATAAAGTTGAGCATGTTTTTCTGTCTGTTTGAGTTATTACAGTAGAGAGTTGTGGAGTCGGAACAGAAGATGTAAAAGTGGCGTCGACAAGCGTTAGACAAGCGTTTTCGGGAGGAAATCTGTGAGCATACGGTGACGCAAAAGAGTGTGGAATTAGATTGGGTATGCGTGCCGCCGTCTGGGTGGTGACGCAGGGTGGTGATGTATGTGACGTAAATGTGTGCACGGCATGAGCTGATCTAACCAGAGTTTGCGTCTTGGGCAGTGTAGACGGAAACACTACGACGGAGCGTATTCAACTTTTAGTTTCAGATTTTTGCGCTTTTAAGCCCCAAAAGTGCCATCACAGTCTAAATCAAAGTCACTTCAAATAAAATATTTTGTCGTTTCTCCTCGCAAGCGTTCTTGTGTAAACAGGCCCTTAGTAACTGTGAGAGCCAGGAACTTCAATTTGAGAAAGTGTGAGTTTTAAGGCTGAGCAATATGGCAAAAAATAATAATTTTATTCTCATATCACAATCACAGTTTTAATTTGGATTGTATTTTGTCTTCAAAACAAATGTCTTTCAATAGTAAATTCACGAACACAGACAAAACTATTACCTCTCAGTAAAAAATCCAGATAATTGACCAATTGAAACAGTTGGATCTTGATTAGATTAAAATTGCATTAACTGCCCAGTCATAGTTAGTTTTAAATAATTTAATGAGAAAGCCTTATTTTAAGTAATATTTAAATGACTTTTTTGTATTTTTTCAATGGAGAATGGATTGGTTAGTTGATGCTGAAGTGAAGTTGCATGTAAGTAAGTAAGTAAGTCTTTATTTATATAGCGCTTTTCAAAGACATTTTTTGTCACAAAGACTTTACATTACATTCAGCATTATTCCTTCACTCTATACCTGGTGATGGTAAGCTACTGTTGTAGCCACAGCTGCCCTGGGGCAGACTGACAGAAGCACAGCTGCCATGCCAATCGGCGCCAACGGTCCCTCCGACCACCACCATCACTCACACACACACCACACACATACCACTTTCATACTGGGCATGTATTATCTTATCTAGGCAACATATGGGCACTGGTGTCTCTCTGGTGTCTGTTATTATAATTCATGAACCCATTCTAAAACTACATCATTATTATAACTGAACCATCACATTTTACAGAGTTAGGAGTTGGTCTTACCTGTGACATGTAGCCTGTCCATGCTGACCTCTATCTTGAGAAACAGACGTCCTCTGCGCTCTGTGTGGTCGGTCCCGCACAGACTCGGCACATTCACCACACACTGCTTGTGCACATTCATGTCACAGGCTGGACAGAAACAGAGGAACAGTTAGAGCTTTAAAATACAGTAAAATGCACAAGCACACAGGATATGAGTGGGTTAGGACAAAAGATCATAGTTCTAAAAATAGGAATACATTTCTCCAATAGACTAAAATATTCATATTAACCTCAATGTATTAGGGTTGGACCTTAATTTAGCTGCGTAATCAGTCTATGACGTCTTTGTCAACAATTTTATTTTTTTTATTTGTCAGTGACTTGTTTCATTAAGATTATTATTAGTAGAGAAAACAGGTTTTATATTACATCTGGTTTACACAACTACGTTTTAACAGGATTTATTACTGAAATGATTTATTCTTGAATTTCAGGTGAATTTTGGAAAGCCAATGTTATATGTTGTGGTATGGATACTGAGACACATTATCACTGATGTGTGCTGATGTGCCTTTTCCGTGGTCGGATTGTTGCAGTTCCCACAGAAGCAGCAGACAGACCTCAGGCTAAAGTAACAGTTGTGGTCTTGTTCACCCTCATTTCCTCCTGTCTCCCTCACTGCCCTTAAAATCACTCCGCTTCTCCTGTTCCTGTTTCATTCCAGGCCTCTTTCTTCTCTCCAAACACACACTGTGAGGGACATTGGGGCAGAAGCACAAAGGACGGAGCTACGGCCGCCCCTCCAAGTCCTCCATCTGTGACCGCTGAGCTGCAGATGGACTGGTGCAGTGAGAGCACGGGGAACACTCAATAGGTCGCGTTCACATTCAAATATGTGATGGTGCCATAATTTCAGGTGGAGGGCTATATGTTCAGGCCTGTCATGATAATCACTATATCGACTATATCGAAGCTAGAACCATGTATTTTTGAGTTCAGTATTTATCGTGTGTACATTTTCTTTGCAATAATGGGGAGATTTGGTCATTTCTGTTGTAATACGGCAACATTTGAGCTGTAGATTATTGAATAAGTAATTTTTCTGGCTAATTATTAGTTGATTTAGCTATTTATTTGTTGCAGCTCATGCCTTTTAATAATACAGTATATTTTACTACTACTTACTACTAATTTTCTACTTATTATCTTGCATTGTGTCAGTGGCATATACTAGTAGTTTCAATATTATTGTTTATTTATCGTGCTTTTTTTTACTGTGCTTCAAAATTTGTTAACCTGGCAAGCCTAGGTGTGTTCACTAATATTGTATCTTCACACTTGCCTACTATCCTTAGTGCCGTTTTGCCTAGGATAGATTAATTTCTATACATGCTGTCATTAAGGGTGCACTATGTATCTTTTCTGGTGGAGTGTGCCATTTAGTGCTGCCGCTCAATTTCATTCAGGAACACCAGACGGTTTGCAAGAACCCTGGAAGTTGTAGATCTTACACCGGCCAATCAGTGAAGAGCTGTGAAGCCATGATGTCAAACTCAAGCGCCTGTCTGGGTCCCTTTTGTAAGAATGTACAAAGCCATACATTCTGTGTTGGCAAAGATTCCCGAGATCGAGGATTTAAAACCGGAACAAAGACAATGGTGAATTTTATCAAGTGGAAAGACGTTATTGCCCTTCTTCCTACAGGATTTGGTGCATTACATACGTCACGACCAAACAGCAATGACTGCTTAAATAAAAAAAGTACCCGCCTACCATCGACTGAACGAATCCTAATGCTACGAGATCAGACAGTTTTCATGAAGCGAAACCGGCTGATGAATCAGGCTATGTGCCACCTGTTTGTCCATGAAATGTTTCACAGTATCACTTTAAACTTATAGCCCTTGCATTTATTCAGGTGTCATTATTACTCATATAAATCTCGAACAACATGTATTCTTACCATGAGCAGGGAAGCTTCTACACAGATCTGAAGTGTATGGACAAGTTTAATGTCATGCTGTGGAACATTTTAGTCAACGCAATAGCAATTCCATGGACACATGGAGGTGGACCCAGAAACATTATGTAGGGCACCTTTACATGATGGATATCCACAATGTAAAATATGGATATCCGTGGACTTTAATTACATTTTAAAAATGTATTACACAGGATGAGAAAGCGTATGGCATTTTGTGAGATATTGAGCCATCCCTCGACATAATGTGAGAAAATCATCTACAGTCTGTAATACCGGGGTCTGTATGGAGAGTGAGATTGAGATGGTAGGTGGAGAGATTGGGAGCTGGGGGAGGAATGGTGGATTTGTGCCTGGGCCTGGAAAGCACAGCTCACTATAGGAGTACAGTAACAGTCTACTCCCATCTGTTCTCATTACAGCTCGTTTTAGGACACAGACAGCAGTGTGGCACACACAAATAGACCCCCACACACACACCCCCACCCGGGCTACTCACTGTCACACTTCATGCCCTGATGGATGAGGCCGTACAGCAGAGAGCCGCAGTGGTCGCAGAACGTGGGGCTGCCATACGTGTGGATCTTGAATTTGTGTTTGCTTCTGGGGTCCTGAGACAATACAGATAAACAACAACATAAGGGATTAGTAAGACTCTAAGTGGTACTTTAGTGCCACTAGGGAAATTTAGTGTCCATTTGTTCTAGCCTTAAATGCATCCTGTCAGGAGCAGTGGGTCACCGCAATTTGGGATGTCTTAGTTAATCAATAATTGTAATTATTTAGGTCAAAAGATAATCGAAAGAAACTAAAGCACATTATTAGTAAAAATATTAAAAACAAAAGTTAGTCAAAAAAGTAAAGCTGATTGTTAAGTGCTGTTTTATCTGTCTGTTTATATCAAATTAACTTTAAAGGGCCAATATTAAGTCATTTTCTGATGTTGTTTCCTCACCAAACCTACATGGTGCTATGTTTTGTTTCATTTACACATGTTCTTCTCTCAAAAAGAAATCACTGTGGTCCACCTTGAGATATCTTGTGGCAAAACAAGAGGTGAACTAAAGGTAAAAGGTAGCTGTTAACTTGAAAACTACTGCTTCATGAAATCTTTAGAGATGTAGACAGCCTAATACTCCAGGATTAGGCTCCAGGTGTGACTGAACTGGTGACCTATTGTACAGCTACATGTTTTTATGTTGATGGAGGAAGCCAGAGCGCCTGACATGCAAACTCCAGTTATAAACCTAATTTTGTCCAAGAATTCAACCCAGGACCTTGCACTGAGGTGAGAGAGTTAGTCATAAATATACTTTCATCATAATGTTTCTGCCTCTTTGACTTTATATTTTAAAATAGGAATAAGAGCCATCCCAATGGTACATCGTGAAATCTGCCAAATCAAATAAATCATCTTCTACATTTTCGACAAATGAAAAACGAGCAAATGTAGAAAATACTCCAGATGGAAAGGAAACGTTGGGTCATTAACAGTGTGTGGGAATGTGTAAGGTTCAAACAGTTTCAAGCTTGGTGTCAGCTCTCTCCATCTTGTCATCCTGGAATCGGTCCCAGTATCGCAGTAGCAGCAACACTCCCCTCTAACTGTCATTATGCTAGTCTTCCTCCTCTCCACAACATCTGCTTGTAAATCAACACAAGGTAGTGAGCGACTGGAGGTTGATGAAGAGGAATATGTTTTCAGCACCGTGTGCAAATTCATACTTGGATGTGCTAATCAGCAAAGATGAATGTGCATGTGTTTGCAATCAGCTGAGATGGGTGTGCATTGTGGTAACCTGGTAGGTACGCTAATGCTGAAAATCACAACAAAACAAACATGGTGGTAATTAAAGACCCTGCAAATGAGGCCTTGTGAGCCCCCCGCCAACCTTGTCAGTGTTACACTGAAGTGTCAAGAGGAATAGCAGCAAACAAATGACTAATTTTCTGCACTAAATTGAACAAGTAAACAAGATAATACTTGTAAGGGGAGGGCTAAGTGGGGACTTCTGGACATGTTATAGGGATGCACCAATCCAGCTTTTTGAGTGCCAATACTGATTCTGATACTATAGCATTAAATATATAAGATGAGCAGTGCAGAAACTGATGTCAACATTTATTTCCTTTAAACAAAAATAAAATAAGAAAGAACTGCTCCAAATGTGTTATGGAGCAGTTATTTATCAAGTAATCACAGAAGAGTTTTGTGTAATTTAAAATTCATCAACATTATGAGACTTTCTGGGCAGACTAAACGGCCAGTAATCTATTTTAGCAGGATACTGACTGAGGCCAATTGGAGGCCAATATCCAATGCAAATTATTCAGTATATCTGATACCAGTATCCGATCTGTGCATCCCTACTCCTACCCCTACTCCTAAAACTTGATTTTTTTGCTGGACTATTATGAAGAATTGTGATCTGCCTTCAGTTACATTAGAAAGTCCATTTGGCAGGGATTGAAGTGTAAAACCTTTCCTGCTTAAGCAGACTCAAGATTCAGCAGTGTGAATTGTGCACAGTGAAAATTAGTTCAGCCACAGAATGCAAATGTCATTTTACCTTTGCTTTAAGATGTGTAGATTTGGATGAAATATAGAAATTTGAAGTGTTTTCTTTGTTTAGCAGAATTAATTATGCTGTAGGAAATGGAAAGTAAATTATAACATAAGCTGAGTGTGTATTAGAGAAGGGAAAGAGAGAAAGAGGAGGCAGCCAGACTTGTCTCTTGAGGCCTGGCACTGATGTTGATAAGGACCCTGCTCTGTTCTGTGTAACATCAACATGCCTCTGCACATCTCTGTTGTGTCCCTGTGTTCAAAATAATACACTCACAATGGAGTTAAGTGTAACCATCGACCAATCATGTGAAGAGGTAAACACTCCAGTTATCTGAGAGTCATGGGACAGATCACGCTGAAATATGAGTAAAAAGAGGACATACTGTAGCTCCAACAATTGTGCCTCAGCTATTTTAAACGTGTGATAATACTGCAAAAGAAGACTTGTTATAAACAGCAAAGAGAAGTCCTCGCTCAATTAAATCGTAACACCTACATACATACAAGGTACAAAATCATACTAATGTCATTTCACAGCCTCTCTATGTTTGCTGAATGATATTTCCTTCATTATTAATGTAAGTCATCTCGAAAACATTTTGTGTTTTTGTCTCCTAATGAGCAAACAACTGTACACCCACAGCGCACTGACCATTCATCTACCTACTGCACTAGGTGGGCTAAATATTTGCATAAAATTTCCATGTAGAAACTGATGAAGAGGAGGGAAGTTGGCTGTGACTTTTCCCACACATTTTTCACATCAAAGTGCAGGAGATACAGCTGTCACGGCCGCCACAGTAACAAAAAGAAGCTTCACATAGTTACTGAATATGACAGGGTGCAGCCGTATACAGACAAGTGCTGTGCCATGAATAAATGCATAGAAAATGTAGAATTCAAGGAAGCCACAATAGAGACCTGACTGAAATGACAATGACAAAGCAGAGGAGGATGGTATGGATAAAGCTTGTGTCATTTTGTTAGAGCTTTACAATGGATTGATTAATTGATCCCACTCTTCACGATGTCAGTTTACTAGAAGACAATTTCACAGAGCTGATTTGCATTTTCTCAAATTTAGCACTGCAGAGGGCTGGAGTCAGAACAGTTAACATACCAGATCCAATGGCATCTCCATAGGCTTAGCACCATCTGTGAGATTCGGTCAATTGCTTGAAAGTTGAATAATAACATAATGCATTGAAGTTATGTTTTGCTTTATAGTCCATCAGAGATTTCAGTCAGTCACACTCAGAGGTGACACTAATGTTGCTACAGCTGCCCTGAGACGAAGTGATGAGGTTTGTGTGCGGCTACTAAACTGAGCCAATAGTCCTTGAGAACCCCCGCACAATGACAAACACAACAATATGATGTAGAGAGCTTTACTTATTTCAAGGTTTGGGCTAATGTTCTCACAATATAACCTTGCACAACAAAATGGATTTGTGAGTTCATAATTTCACAAGAATCCATTTGGGCTTTAAACCATTTTCAATAGCACAATGATACAAACGCACACAATACACAATATATACACAATGGAATGTCATTTTTTTTTTTTTTCTAATTTGATAGTTTTAGTGTATCCAATTTAGAAGCAGCAATATTCCTTCTTCCTTCTGTTCTTGAAAACTTCTTAAACTGGACAACTTTCAAAGACTCTGGACGGGCCATCACAAAAACAGACAGACAGGAGCACTGAAGCTGAACAGGAGTCAGAGCAAGAGAGTCCTTCAAACAGGGGCAGAGTCACAGGAGCAGCAGGGACCAGTGACAGGAGCGCAGTGACAGGGGAGGAGTGACAATGAGCTCACTGCTAATGACATGCACAGCACCACCCGGAGGTGAATCTAACTAATTAGTAAATGGACAAGAACACAGCAAAAAGTGTGATTTATAGCAGAGGTTAATTGGGTGTTTGACATCTGATTTTTAAAACCAGGTTAACGGGCATTGATTAATTCATAAGTCCTTTTAGAATGTGTCCAGAATCAATGTGTGGGAATTAACAGCCCAGGAGCCAACAAAAAGTGCAATTTCATTGTCACATTTTTTTGTAATTGCTGATAAAAAGATAAATAAAAACTAAAACAAAATTAGCTTATTTTGTCAATGAAAAAAAAAAAAAGTACATAACCCATTTCTAATGTTTTGTCAAAATTAACACTGGTCTAAAAGTTTTTTTTTTTTTATAACTGGTGTGAATCAGCACGAGGAATTTCTATTTATTGTCTTGGAACTATTTCTGCTTCACAAACAGACCCGGGAGAGTGGAAAAAGCTCCCCAGACATCCACGGCTTGGAACAAACTTTCCCAAAACATCAACACGACTCAATTACAGTTTTATTGTGGATATGAGAGTGGTTTATTTGTCTTGTAGGACAGACTTGTGGGAACAAAGCAAAGGAAAAGAAAAGAATACAAAAGTAGAGCTCTGCATGTTGAAATTCCTCCAGGTAGAAAAGCATTGTGCAGTGTGGGTTGTGGCACTCATTTTTCCTCTGGTGAAAAGTGCAAAACAACTGGTGCTGTCAGCAGGAGTCCAAACACAGATTGAGGACACAGAGAGAGAGCTGGGGCTGGAGCTGACCCACTGTGCTGAGGGGGGCAGACTAAACATATACAAGGCAATGAATACTTGAAGATTTGTGTGCAGTGCAAATAAAAGTTTAGGAATAACAATATGTTACACTGTGCTCCTTTATGGCTGTGACAAGAGGTGACCTCATTCATAGAAAGAACAGATGCTTTTCAAGGGATTTGTTTTAGCAATAGCACCATTTAATTGAATAAATGTTGAATGATACTATACTGTAGAACATTCTAGACCAAGCAATACCATATCAATGGAGACAACAAGATGATGGATCCCCAACAAGACAACTTACATAGTGCACCTTTACACCATTGTTTCATTTCCCAAAGACTGGGTCGTGACCCTCAGGTGGGTCACAAGAGATTTTTCTTGGTTCGCATTGTCATGATCTGCATGTCTGTCAGCAATATACAGTTCTGACACTGATCTGCTGCTGTGC